AGTCTCAACTTTCAATGCGCACAACACGAATGCAGAGACGCAATACAGAGTCAGCACACACATCACATGACGCTTCTGCTGCTGCTCTTGCTGCTGCTTTTGCTGATATTACTGCTATTACTGCCCTTGTTTCTGCTGGTCGTGCTTCTGCTGCTGGCGCTGATAAGCATGCGCTTGCTGCTGGTGCTGCTGCTGCTGCTGGTGTTTTCGTTTCTGAGTGGTCAGTATAAAGAGCATTTCCGCTAGCGGTGGCGAGGCGCTTGTGTGGTCTTTTGTTTTGTTTTTCTTTCTTTCCATTTCCTTCAAGTCGTTGTCTCCCTTCTGGTAGTTTCTTCTCCGGGTGTTGACCTGTGGCTGCTGCTCAGATCTGCAGAAGCAGAACGGCTGCTGCGTGGCCCCCCAGCTGGAGTTGTTGCGGGACTTGCTCTACATAGACCAACAGCAGCAGCAGCAGCAGCGACAGCAGCTCGCACTGCTGCAGCAGCAAATGCCCAATGCAGTGACGCCGCAGCTGCTGCACCTTATCCAATCGCTTTGGGACGAACTCGAAGGAACATCTGGGCCCTTAGAATTATACCGCTCTGTTGCCTTCATAGAGGCAGACTGCAAGGTGATCTGGCTCTGCTGCTGGTGTTGCTGCAGTTGATGCTGCACTGTTGCAGTTGCTGCTACTGCTGGTGTTGCAGTTGCTGTTGCAGCTGGAACTGTCTATAGCGCAGGATATCACCGCCTATCCAGTTGCCACGACAGTTTCTGCTGCAGTTTCTAATGCGATCACTGCATTTGCTGTTGCATTTGCTGCTTCTGCCGCTGTTCCTGCTCCTACCCCCTCCGTGTATATTTTCTTCCCTCTCACTGTGTCTGTCTCTTCCTCCTTCTGTCATTGCATATCTGCCTTCGTGTGGCTGTCCCTCTACCTTTTTCTTCCTGTCTCTGTTCCCGTGTGTTTCTGCCTCTGTCTTTACACTTTTGGGTTTTTCGTTTGTTTTCTTGTTTGCTGTTTGGCTGCAGATGCCCTTAGACCGGACCTGCTCTCGGGGCCTTAACCGCTCTGTCTTCGCGGTCGATGCGACAATAGAGGGCCTCAACTACGAAGCCTTAACCAGCAGCAGCAGCAGGAGCGGCAGGAATGATGAGGGGGAGGAGCTGCTGCGTCACGTGCTGCGTGATGTGTTCGCTGCTGCTTTGGGGCTGCCAGTAGGAGACGTGCTGCTTATTAGGTCCTGGAAATCCGGCGAACTACATGCTCTCATCGACGCCGGACCACTCAGCAACAAACCCCACTTCCTCCAGGCAAACCCTAAACCCTAAACCCTAAACCAGAAACTTTAATTCCTCGAACAAAACCCCTAAACTGTGGACCATAAACACGACACCATAAGCCCCTACACCCTACACCAGAGACTCTAAACTCCTCAAACCAAAACCCTTGACCCTAAACCCGAAACACGAAACCCTAGACCCGAAACCTTAAGCCGGAGCCCCGAGAACCTAATCCGCAGACCTTAAAACCTAAACTTTAAACCCTACATTTGGAACCCTAAACCCTAAATGGTGAATACGGAGAAGGGGAAACGACTGGCCAAGGGAATGAAGAGGGAGACGGAACAAAGGAGAGGAGGGGGAACAGGAAAAAGAAATGTCCTCTGCGTGCATACGCCCCAGCATAGCAATAGCAGCAAACCAGCGATGCCGTTGTTGCTGCTGCTGCTGCGCCTCAGGCTGTAGAGAGGCTCCGGAAGGACGATTCCTCTGGCCTGGCGGCGCTTATGTCTACTGAGCTGCAGCGGCAGCAGGCTGGTGCTGCTGAAGCAACGCATGCGAATCAGGCTCTGCAGCAGCAGCAGCAGAAGGCATTGGGTCCCCTGTTGCTGCACCCAATTCCCTTGCTGCTGCCTGCAGCATGCTTTTCTTCGCCTCGTGTGTCCGTCTCTCCGTCGAGCGTCTCCATAGCCCCCGTTGCCTTTGCTTCTCCTGGCAGCAGCAGCAGTAGCAGCAGTCGGCGGCAGCAGCAACGGGAGCTGCTAAGGCCTGAGAAGGGTACGTGGGGCCTGGGCCGCATAGCAGCACGCGATGTCTCGTGCAGCACAAATGAGGGCCTCAGCGCCCCGCCAAACGTCTCTGTCTTCGAGGCCTACAGACTCCACTCCACATCCGCTACAAACGAACACGGCTCAGTCATTACTGTGAGACCGGCGGAGCCTGCTGGTGTAAAGCTACGTGGCCCTTGCTTTTACTCTTGCTAGTGCTGCTGGTGCTGCTGCTGTTTCTGGTGGTGGTAGTGGCGCTGCTGCTGCCGTTTTTGCCGACGGTGCAATGTTGCCGTAACTCCTGCAGACTGGTGAACAGAGACTATCGGGCTGCTGCTTCTGC